TAAAATGAGTCTTCAATAACAATCTGCTACGATGGATCATCTATACTACTTGTTGCAATCATCTACGTATCACGCTACGATGCTACGATGCCGGAGCGGAAACATCAACTCTATTCACAGTACAATACAGATATTAGTATAAACCAACTGCCTGATTCACTGTACTTGCTTCTTCTTGCTAAGGGAAGGAGAATTACCTTATGAAAGAAATCGCGTTACAAAATAACGAACAAAACGTATTTACGAGCAGCACCGATAAATGTAGGCTGCAAGCAACCAGGCTAGAAAGTATCACTATGGTCCAGGCTTTCAGAACCACCCGGTTGCCAAAATGGCATTTGACCTTGAAGGTCAAATTTGGGGGGTCAAAAGGTCAAATGAGGTCAAATTTGATTTTTATTTTATTTTGTTTTGTACTTTCATATAACATCGAGATTGGCGTGAACAATTGAATATTTAATGAGTTATAAGGGGTTTAATTTCTAAGATAATAGGTAAATGTGAAGCGATTCATGAATATAAATGCTTTTTACTCCTCTATTCTTTGGAATTCGAATAAACTAAGATCCATTCATTTTAAAGTCACTTTTACCAAAAAATATCCATTGCTTCATCATCAAGAATGCACCACAGTGGCTGAAAGCCTCAGAATCATCTAGTTCCAAAATTATGATGTCATTCATTTCAAGGTCAAATCATGCATTTTAAAGGATAAGTAACTTTAAGAAACAACACATCATTTTCCATCGATTTCAGTTCACCCGTCAACAAGTCACTTCTCTTCAATCTACACCCTCTGTTCCCTCCTTCAGCATCGCAGCCACATGCAGGTATACATCGTTGTCCTATCTTGTGGCAACGGCAAGCTTGTGTTACACTTGCTTTAACATCCACAAGTAACAAGTTCCAAACAGCTACTTGGAACAGATGGTGTCCGCAACCACACTACTTCTAATCGTCCATCAGTTGCCTGCCAACCTTCAGTCTCCTCGGCGTCAGGAACAACTACGTCAGCCTTGTTTGCCTGCAGCCATACTTTTGTCTGGTAGTTCGCACGCGACATATGCAATTCGAGAGCGTCACTAGTTGGTCGCAACATTTCAAGTGCCTTCTTCCCTTTCTGGAACCAGTCATGCCTAGCTCTGTCGACACCGGAACTAGTGTGGAGCTTTGTAAAGGTTACATACGAACTCCTCGACATCACTTAATGGCCCATCTCGGCCAGCGCCATGCAACAGTTCCGGGTGTTGCAAGTAGACATTCCAGCATGATTTTTTGCCATGATCAGCGAATGATGACACTGTATCACAACCAGTTATGGCATGGAACCCAAGAACATTCTCCACAACTGCCGGAGGGAGGGTCTCGTTGATGATGTGAACTGGGAAACACTCCTGCTCCTTGGATGTGCTTAGCGGCTACTCCATCTCCACAGCATTGCGCAGAGTTTGCTCCGCCTGGTGAAGTGAAGAGCAAGAGCGCGGACATACTGGGTCACGGCCTTCACAATTATGTTTCACTAACGCGGCCTCCTCTCACACTGGCTTCAAAGCATGAGGGTGATCCTCCGGCTCTCCGCTGTTCCTCTCATCTTTCGCGCCTCCCTCCCCCTTCCCCTCTCGCAACTTCCATTGTCGTCATGCTTCCGCTCCACGTGCTCCCTGTTCAGCTTGTTCTCCGCTGCTATGGGATGAACTCCCCCTCTCCGTCCCTTTGATACATCCGTTCGGTTCGTCTTCGCGCTGCACGAACTACGACTTCGTTCGCGAGCGCTATCGCTTGTGCTGCGCGGTTGCCAGTTCAGCTGCACGGACACCCGCCTGCATACCGGCGTCCTCTCGCCTCTCTTCTATCAGCCACCTAACTCGCGCTCGCACTTGAAGTTCTCCTTCTCTCCTATGCACTCCTGTGGAAGGGAGATCATCTCTCTCTCGCCTGATCACTGTTACGGTCACCGACTTGGTCTCGTCTTGCCAGCTTTTTGCTTCGTGTAGTCGACCTTATCACACCGTAGAAGTCCTCCCTTCCATATCACTGACTAATACGACTGTCCGCCAATCTCCTCTGTGTGACACCTCGGCTGCACAGAACTGTCCCTTACCACCTCCGTGCGTCTCTCTACCCTTCGCTCCGAGCGTTTTGGCAATGTTGCCAAAAGTTTGCATTGCGTGGCTTCTTAGGGATTAGTCCACTAGGCCATCCCCTATGTTCTTCTTTTACTAAGCTAGACATGTTGCCAGACTATAAGGTTTGTATGTTGCAATGCAATATACAGCGTCCTAAGAACTAAGAAACTGCGGATGGCTAATTTGCATATGGTTGTAGCATTTTGCTTAATTGCGGCCTCCTATATTAGCATATTATTAGGTCAACATCACAAATCAAGATGCACTTTCTTAGTAACTCCACTAGAACTCATTCGTGCTCGTCTAGACCCTGTGTTTCGACATTAAGAATTTGATCTGGCATGCGATTCAACCGGATGACCTCCTTTCCGACTGCCAGATCCAATATGGCTTCATGCATAATGAGGTCAACCGTAAAATCACCATAACGCTGACGCGAACTGATTGAAGATAGCGACTTTGTTTTGATGTTTGACCCATTTTCTTAACACCAAGCGTTCCATCGTTATAGAAGTGCTCTATATAGTTTACAGTAAGTTCTTTATATCATGAAAATGTTTAAATTTATGATGCAGCTAGTCATGGACTACTAGCTATTAACACCCCAACACCATCAAGACTAAGCTTACTATTCCCAGCTTCGTTCTCGTTATGTTTCCGAGCATTCTCTCCTCTCGTAGATCCGGTCATTCTCCT